CCCGAGAGGGGTAGGAGGAGGGGAGGAGCGGGGAGAGAGGGGACGCTGAGGAGGTGAGGGAGAGGGCCAGGGCCTGGGGGAGGGGACAGGAGAGGGTTAGGGACGGGCAGAGGGGGGTGGGCAATGGGATAGGCGTCTGGATAAGGGAACTAGGTCAAAGGACCAGAGCATCATCACGAGACTAGGAAGAGGATGGGAGGGGGAGGAGGATGGGGAGAAATCAGGGGAAGTGGGGGTTAGGGGTTGAGGCAGAAGGGAGAGGGGCAGGCGGCAAGGGATGGCAGAGGGTATTGGGAAGTGGGTTATGATATGGGAAGGGGTCAGGATATTTGAGGGGCGAGGACAGGAAAAGGGCATCAGAGCTAGAGAAAGGGATCTGGGCAATGGGAGGGCTGGGGGAAGGCGAGTCTGAGCCAGGTAGGGGGAGAGGGTGGAGAGAAGGCTTGGAGGGCAGAGTAGATCAGAGGGCAGAGTGGAGGCTTGGAGGTGGGGAGAGGTTAGCAAGACCAGACGCGGGGTCTTCTGGGGGTGGGATAGCTGTGGGGGTGATCTGAGACTCTGAGTTCAGACCCTCCCGGAGCGCCAGCCCCATGGGGTTGGGAGGCCTCTGAGTGAAGGCAAAGGGAGGGTCCTGGTGGCCCAGGGTTACCCCGACACCTCCACCCCCCTCCACTTCCTCCCTGGCAGAGAAACTGTTTCCTGGCCAGCGCTATTTCTGCCCATCCGTTTCCAGAAGGCGGGGGCTCCAGTCACCCCCTCCTCACCTCCTTGAAGTGCCCTCCCAGTCCCCAGGGAGCCGGGGCTGAAATAGCCTCTGGCCAGGATGTAGAGGATACACAGAAAGGGCTCTCCTGAGGTCCCCAGTGCTGAGGCAGCACGCCTTGGTGTGTGTGGGGGGTGGGGGCGGCTAGGAGTGAGGATGGGGGTGAATGAAGGTGGGGATGGATGTGAGTTTGAAGATGAAATCTGGACATGAGTTGGGGCCAGGAACGTGGGTGGAGGTTGGGAATGGGGCGTTCCGACGGGGACTCCGGGTGGGGGTAGAGATGGGATTAAGAATGAAGGGGGAGGCTAGCTTGGGGTTGGGGTTGAAGGTGGGTGCTGAGATGGGCCGGTGTTGGGGGTTGGCCGGGAGACTAAATTGGGGACCCGGTTGCAGCTGTAGGTGGGACAGCACTGGCCCGGTGGGTGGGTGGGTGGTTATCCTGGCGTCGTTGGGCACAGTGATGGTTAAAGATGGTGTTTGGACAAAGGGATGGCTTGGGGATAAGCACATGGGTGTGTCCCAAGGTGGAGATGGCTGATGGGGTTGGAATACATATGGGGTGGAAACCAAAAAGACATTGAAGAAGACACTGGGGCTTGGGGTAGTTTGGGGTTGAGAATGGTGTCTTGAGTTGAATTGCCCCCCCCACCAAGAAAAAAGATGTGTAAAGTCCTAACGCCCCTGTGGCTCAGAATGGGGACCTTATCTGGAGACGGGTTCTTTACAGAGGTAATCAAGTTAAAATGAGGTCCTAGGGTGGGCTCCAATCCAGTATGACTGGTGTTCGGATACAAAGGCGAGATTTGGACACAGAGACAAACACACACACAGGGAAGATGATGGGACGTCACAGAGGGAAGATGATGTGATATCACAGCGAGAAGGCCGTGTGGAGACAAAGGAACAGGAGTGAGGTGGCCGAGAGCCAGGAAACTCCCAGGTTGACTGGCAAAGCATCAGGTGCAGGGAGAGGTGAGGAAGGATTCCACTCTGAGTTTCCGAGGATATGTGGCCCTGCTGACACCCTGATTTCAGACTTCCAGCCTCCCGAACTGAGAGAATAGACTTCAGTAGTTTAAGCCACCTAGTATGTGGGACTCGATGACTTTGGGGGCCCCAGGAACTGGACACAGGCCGTGGGGGACATAGCTGGCAGATGCAGGTGGAAGGTAGGCGCTGGGCATGGCAGTGAGTTTGAGATGAAGCTTGGACGTGAGCTGAGGTAGGGATGAAGTTAAAGGTGGAGGCTGGGGGTTTGGGACTGGGATGGAGTTAGGGTTGGGGTTCTGAATGGGATGGAAAAGGAGAAGAGATTAGGGGTGAAGGAGGAGGTTGAGGTGGGCGTTGTGGTCTGGGGCCAGGGTTGGGGCTGGGGATGGGAAGGGGGTCGGGTATGGAGGTTAGGGAGAGGCAGAAGGTCAAGGTTGGATGTGGAGACTTTGAAAGGAGATGGGTTGGAGGTTAGATTTGAAGGGAGGGAGGGAAGGAGGGTTGAAATTGGGGGTAGGGAAGGGATTGGGAGGGGATGGGACCAAAGTTGGTGATTCACTTATCACAGGACATGGGGGTGAGATTGAAGCCAGTGGTGCGTGGAGAGTGGGATGGATTGGGGGTAGGTGTGGAGAGGGAGCTAGAGCCTGGGCTTGGTGGATGGAGATTAGGACTGCAGGGGGGCGGACTGGTGTCCTACATGGAGGTGGGCAGACAGAAGTTGGAGAAGGGAACGGAGGTGGGATCACAGGTGGAGGTCAGGTGTGGGGAGGGGCTCCCGACTCACCTGACAGAGGCTCCTTCACCTTTGGGGGCTCGGGGACCTTGGGCGGGGGCTCAGGAGCCGCCTCGCCTGCGGGCACCACCCTCTCGGCCAGTGACGCCCGGCGGGGCTTGGGCCCGCGTCCCAGTCTCAGGAAGGCCAGTCTCCGGGCAGCCTCCCCAGCCGCCTCCTCGTCGCCCTGGGCTCGGGTCCCCTGAAGCCTGGCCAGGAGGCCAAAATCTGCCGAGCTCCTGCGAATCCCCGGTGTCAGCACGCGGCCCAGGAAAGAGCGGGGCTGCCCATCTCCTGGGCTGCCTGCCCGCCGGCCAGGGGGCCAGGCCAACCGGAAGGGGGCCAGGCCAGCCAGCTTCTCCAGGGTGGCCCGGCGGCGACAAGATGTTCCGTTGGGCAGGGTCCCCAGCTCCCCAACCTCCTCTTCTTCCAATCCTGGAACTTCCTCAAAGGGGTTCCGAGAGGACCTCAGGGGCAGGGTCCCCGCCCTGGGCACCTTGGAGTCTGCCACCCCTAGATTCTTCAGGATGGGCATTTTGACAGGCGGGGACCTGGGGAAAACATAATGGACGATTACTGGGATTGATGACGGTACTGGTGTTGATGACTGACGACAATGCCCCCTGCCAGGCCCCGGTCTGAGCACCCGCCAATCCCATGAGGTTAGTCCTGTTATTATGCCCATTTTGCAGATGATGCCCAAGGTCCCACAGTGATTCAGGGACGAAGCCAGCGTTCGGACCCAGGCCTGTTGATTCCGGGGCTGGAGTTCTTCCCCCGCCCTGCCCCGCCCCGCCCCGAGCATTGGCATTCAGACCCTTTCCCTGCCTTACTCCTGCCTGGAGGGTTCATCATTTTTGTGGGCCCTCCTACTCCATGAGGAAACAGGCTCAGAGAGGGGAAGTGTCCTTGCCAAGCTGGCACAGCCCATGAAGGGCAGAGCTGCATAGGGACTCAGGCCCCACCATCTACCCAGACAGACCGTCCCACACATAGGCACCCGCCTCGTCTCCCCCTGTCCCGCCAGCACACCTGTCCCCTCTACCCCACCCTGTTCATTCCTTGAGCAAAACCTTCCTGGGAAATGTCCAGAACAGGCAGATCCATAGAGACAGAAAGGAGATGAGCTGGGAGAGGGGGGCTGGGGAGTGACTGCTTAATGGGTCTGGGTTTCCTTTTGGGAAATGAAAATGTTCTGCAGGTACATAGTGGTGATGGTTGACAACACTGTGAATGCACCAGATGCGGCTGAATTCTACGCTTTAAAGTGCTTCCTATGGTGAATTTTATGTTTTATATATTTTACTACCCTCCCCCTGCGCCCCCCTAAAAAAAACCTTACTAGGTATTTGCCCGGTGAAGGCACTGGGGACACAGTGGTGGCCAAGGTAGACCAGTTCTTGCCCTCTTGGGGCTTGAAACCTCCCAAGTTCTGCTCATCCCATCTCCCAAGTCCCTCATCTCCTCCCTCTCCATGGCCCCCTGCCCCAGTCCAAGCCCCCTCTGGCTTCTCCACTTCCTCCCTGGTCTCCAGGCTCTCGTCTTGCCCCCGCCCCCCAGCCCACCTTTGAAGACCTCGTTAAAGCACAAACCAGCTCCCTCTCCTTCTCTTAACCTTGCATGGCTCCCCAGTGCCCTTGGGACAAAATTCAGCTGCCCTCATGGGCCAGCTATGCTCCTCACCAGTGCTATCCCACATTCTCCTCCTCCTTGCTCCAGGCTCCTGGGTGCCACCATTTGTGTTGATCCTTCTACAGGGAAACCTGTTCTCCCCGCTCCATTCGTGCTTTAGGACTCAGCCCCAAAGCCCCCTCCTCCAGGAAGCCCTCCCTGATGCCCGGGCTGAGTCAAGTCGCCCCCGTCGGGATTTACCCCATCCCAGCCCTGCCTACCCTGAGTTGTCACTGTCTGGGGATGAGTCTGTGTCCCCCACTGGACTGTGAAGCCCCGAGAGGTCAGGGTCAGGCTGTCTCAGTCACCGCTGTGTCCCCAGCTCCTAGGGCAGGCGCACAAGAAATGAATGGGTGCTAAACAGGAAGCAAAGGAAGGAGGGAAGGACCTCATTCCTTGGGGGTGAGGAGGAGTCAAGCTGGAGAGGTCAGTAAAGAGCAGGACATGCAAGGCCTCAAAGGGCCATAAGGAGGGACTTGGGCTTTTTCCCGAGGACACTGGGGAGCCACGGAAGGGCGCTTTTTAAAATGATGAAATAGTTCAAACATTCAGAAATTCAGAAAAAATTAGAAAACAAACACCCCCTGTGCCTCCAATTCTAGCAGCATCTAATGCAAACATTCGCTCTATTTGGTTCAGGTTGACTTTATTTATTTTTTTTAAGAGTCAAGCCTTACAGATGCACCGAAGCCCCCCAGCTCTCCTCCTGACCCTGCGTACTCTAGCCCTCCCCCAAGGAAAGCAGATCCGGGATGTGTGTCCCCCATCCAAGCCGACTTTTTACTCTATGCCTCCGCAGACTTGCAGCCAGAAATAATGCATTGTTTCACGTGGTTTCAAGCTCTCTGTAAATGCTATCATACTATGCGTATCCGGCAACTTGCTGTCCGATGGCTGTTTTTTGGCTCACATACAAGTGAGATGTAGCCACGCCTCGCTCTGTGGCTCTAGCTGATTTCTCTTAATTCTTGCGTACTATTCCACCGTAGGGCTGTGGGGCAAACCTGGATCGGCTGTCAGCCGTTCACACGTTCTCCTACTGCTGGCCACGTAGGTTGTTTTGAACTGGGACGGGTTCTGAGCAGGTGAGGGACAGGGTCGGGATTGGGCAGGCGTCGGGGGTCAGGGTCGGGGGGTTGCATGGATCATCTGGAAGGATGCTCAAAGGGCCCTGAGTTGGCTGGGCTGTGAGCGAGGGCATCTCCTTTCGTGGTGGTGACCCCCTTCTTTCCTCCCTGACTTCAGCCTCTAGACCTCAGCTGTTGTCCCTCAAGCTTCTCTCCAGTCTCCATGGTCCGCTGTCCCCCAGGGAGGCAGTCACCATGCCAACCCTTGCCTGGAGCCCCCACGGCTGTGGGGAATCGATACTACCCCCCCCATACTCTCTCTCTTTCTCTCTCTCTTTCTCCCTCATACACACATACACACACACACACACACACACGCCACACGCCGATTTCTGTCTTTCGTTTTCCAAATAGGCTTCTCTGTGCTTCATCCCCCAAATGGCTTCACTGTCCCCCGGAACTGCCTCCATCATCCCCCCAAAACCCCACCTCCCCTGCAAAACAGGGGGCTCCCACTTCCCTCTAACAGAAGTCAACATTACCCAAACTGGACTTGCCACTCCCCCACTGGCTCCCACATCCATCCCTAAACTGGATCCCATACCCCCAAACCATTTCCAACATCCTCAGAGCCCACTGCAACATCTTCTGAAAAGCGGCCCCCTCTTCTTTCCCCTTCCTGGCTCCAACACCCGCCTCTGCAAACTGGCTCCAACATCCTGCCCCCTCCAGCCCCCTCATCTGCCTCCCAGTGCCCAGCCCCTGACTCACTTCCGAGGCATCCCTCAAGCCCCCAGCCTCCCGACCTCCCACAGGATGTCTTGGCCACCAGCTTCCCTCTCTGGGCTCCGGCTCCTCCCCCTCCCCTCCCCCCTCCTCCTCTGTGCTGCCAGCCTTTTCCCCCAAAGCCCTAAACCCTCCGCGGGCAGCTTGACCCGTTTGCAGAAGTCCCCAAGTCTGTATCAGAGAACAGCCCTCACACATTGTGTCCACACTGGACCCCAACCACACAACCCCCACCCAGACCTTGCCCCCAAACAATGCTGTCACCAGCCCAGCCTGTTTCAAGTTCACGCACACCTTCCTTCTGAACCCCATCTCCTGCTCCTTCTCCATCCCAGCCCTGTCTTCTCTCCCATCTCCAAGCCCCCATCTCTTGGGGATGGAGCAAAGCACCCATCCCTCTCTGGCCGGTCTTCCCACCTGAACTCAGAGGGCATCAGACCCAGCCATGGCTCGGGTCTCGTCTCCCTTGATGGTCCAAACTCTCCCTGCTTCTTCGAAGCTTCTCTGGATCCCCAGGGCCCCCAAATTCTTCCCTGCGCCCTCCTCCTGCTCCCAGTTCCTCCCACCCTCTCGCTGGCACCCTCCTGAGGTCAGACCCCACATTCTCTCTTTGCCTCCTGCCTCTCCTGGCTTCAGGGCATGTGTTCTCACCACCTCTGGTCCAGCCCAGATCCAGGGGGGGCCCCGGGCTGCGGGCATGCGGGTCCTGCCCCCTCCTCCAACACACTCACCTCCTACGTAGTCAGTGCCTCCGTCCTTCTGTCCCTGCGGCTACTGTCCTGCCCTGAGGACACTTCAGTCAGAACTGCTTAGAGCTTGGAACTGGGGGGGGGGGGTTAGAGGAGGTCAATTTCCTGTCAGGAAACCCCTCCCTCTCTGGGCCCAGGGGCGGGAAGGACTCTTTATCTGTCTGCCCTTTTAGGCCAAGCTGGGGTTGTGCTGGGAAGGACAAGGCCACAGCCCGGCCCCCACCCTCATCCCCACCCGGAATCGGCCCCCCTCCTGCCTGCTCTTCACGCCTTCCAAGGTGACAACACCATCCTGGGCACCCTGGGGAGACACCAATGCTGGACACGGGCCCAGAGCTCTCCTTCGGGGTCCTCGCTCTGGAGTAGAGACAAGGAGGAAGGTTCTGCTGGCCCAGAAGCTGGGATTAGAGGCCGAAAGGGGGTGGCACTGGGCATGGCTTTGGAATTGTTCTCTCTGCCTAAAAGGCCCTGTCCCCAGGTCCCTGCATGGCTCCCTCCTTCGACATTATCCTGGCCTCAGCTCCAGCATCTGTTCCTCAAAGGAGACATTCCCTGAGCAGCAGAAGCTCTTCTCCACACACCACACCCCCCCAACCCTTCTCTCTCCCAGGGACTGGACCTGATTGGTCAATTCCTTTATATCACCGTCCTCAATTTGAATGATAAGCTTTCTGTCTCCCTTGTAGAGTTCTTTTTCTTTTTTTAAGAATTTATTTATTTATTTATTTATTTATTTGAGAGAGAGAGAGAAACAGCATGAGAGGGGAGAGGGTAAGAGGGAGAAGCAGGCTCCCCACTGAGCAGGGAGCCCGATGTGGGGCTGGATCCCAGGACTCCGGGATCATGACCTGAGCCGAAGGCAGTTGCTTAACCAACTGAGCCACCCAGGCGCCCCTTAGAGTTACTTTTAAGGTTTTAGGTTTAGGATGTCTTTAGGGAGGTCAGGCACAGCGTCCCAGGTGTTAGGCCTGGGACAAGAGATCACGTGCCCAGGCAAAGTTGGGGTTGGTGTGGGATTAGGGTCAGGGCTGGATTCAGGGATCACTGCTTCTGTCCCCGGCCCCAGAAAGGGCTCTGTAGACGCTCAGGCTGGGAGAAGTGGGTCAGGGGTTAAGATTCCAAGGTCTGAAGGCTTCAGATCAAGGACTGGGTTTGCCAGACAATGGGCCCTGGGAAAGGAGCTGCTTGAGTGGCCAAGAAGGGAGGGGGAGGCTTTGTCCTCAGCAGGTCAGTGTGGATCGAGGTAATCAGAAGACTGTGAGTAGCCCTGGCTGGAACCAGCCGACCTGTTGTGGATGGGGACAGCTGTCAGATCTCCTCCTCTTTTTTTAAATTTAATTTTTTATTGAGATATAATTCACATGCCATAAAAATTCACCCTTTTTTGGGGGGGAGGGGCAGAGAGAGCTCTTTTTTTTTTTTTTTTTTTAGGATTTTATTTATTTATTTGTCAGAGAGAGAGCCCAAGCTGGGGGAGCAGCAAGCAGAGGGAGAAGCAGGCTCATCATTTTTAAGGTTCAGCATTTTGTAGCTTCCCCCCTCATTTAGCCTCAGTGCCCTCGTCTGGGAAGTGGGGTGGGGCCACTGCTGGGGTCAGGGGAGCCGGGGTGGGGCCTGAGGTGTGGTGGGCAGGTGTGTGGAGGGAGGGGATCTGCTGCCCCCTCGTGGTGCCTGGGAGAACTGCAGCTCTCCCTGCTAAGCCTGGGAAGGAGTGACTCAGCTCCCCCAGCCCATCCCCAAGACCCCAGCCCTCACCCTGCAGAGCCCTTGGGATCTCAAACCTTCCAGAACTCCGGCCTGAACTCCTCCCTCTCTGCATCCCACCATCCCCGGGACTCCTTGGGCCCCATCTGCTGAGTAACAACAGTAATGTCATCCACTTATAAAGTTCTAATCTGTTCACACGCGGAGCTTTTACGTATATAGTCTCATTAATTTACTGCAGACTGATTTTTCAGGGACAGGAAGCCATAGTGGTTAAGAGCCCAAGTTCCAGAGTTTGGAGGCACTTTGTTTCAAATCTCAGTCCTGCTGCTCACCAGCCATGTGACCTTCAGCCTGTGATTTTTTTTTTTTTTTAATTCTTAGGCTCTCTGCTTCCTCCTGTGTAAGTGGGGCTGATAATGATGGTCCAACCTCACAGGGTGGCAGAAAGGATAAAGGGCTCAGAGCCTGATACAAAGGAAGCCTCTGTGAGTCTGTGTAGCTGATAGTATCAACCAGTGATGTGCTGATAAATGTTTCACAACCAGCTCTCTGGGGGGTTGGGGGCAGGGAGCCTTGATTTGTGGCGTGTGCCAATTTCCATGGTGTAAATATTCCCACCATGACTAATTCAAGCTCGAATTCAGTGATGTCAAGCTACAGTGATGTCACTGAAAGAGTTTTGCGGGGAAGAGATGCGCAGTAGCACGTTATACAGTTGTATCTCTATGAACGTACAATAGATGTAAATAACCTCAGGATCACAGATAATAGTAAAATGTAGTAAAATAATTGGGTTGTGATGAGTATTTATTACCTTTGTTTTCAGTATAACTTATTTAATTACATGTTTGCATAATTCAATTTTTTATAATGGCTGTTTAACAACCAGTTCCAAAATTCCTGCGACTTTAACAGTCAGCTCACTCGGGCTGACTCCCAACACACCGCTGTTGGCATTGCACCCCTATTTTAGAAAGGGAAACTGAGGCTCGAGAAGATGATCAGTCAGACAGGGGGCAGGGCATGGACCCCGTCCCTCCAAGGGCTGTGGGATTCTGGGGCCAGGGCGGGCTATGCAATGCCCCTCTTTCTTTCATCCCACCCTGGTCTAGAGGGCATGGGTGGTCCCCGCAGTACTGGACGACCTCAGTGGAGCCCTTGCCTCTCTGGTTTCGATTTGCCCATCCCGACAGCAGCTGCACCCTGCAGGTGAATACTTACACAGGGCTCTTTAACACCTGCTTCAGCCCTGCCAGGAAGGCAACATGTCTATCCTTCCCCTCACTTTATAGGTTGGGAAACTGAGGTCCGCCCTGAGTCACAGAGCTATAGGGAGAGTCCTCAGATCCCAGCTGGGGTGCACAGGAGAGGAACCGGTAGCCACGACCTTGGGCTCTGGAGTTTTCTGGGAGGTGGGAGGCAACCTGGCTAGAGATGGTGGTCCGGCTTTGGCAGTGGCTCTGCCTAGCACACTCTGCCCCCAGCACCCTTAGCCCTACGCTCCCAAGAACTTCCTGGGCCCCTCGACCGGAGAGAGGGTGGCTGGGAGGGAGAATGTGGACAGCGCCGTCTGCCTGGTTCTCGTCCCTGGGGGCTTCTCCGCCTCTGTCGCTGTCTCCATTCTCCTCACAGGTCTCTGAGTCTCTGTCTCTCTTTGTCTCTTTTTGCCTCTCCCTCCGTGTCCGTGTGTGGGTCTCTCAGGCTTTGTCGCTCTCTGTGTCTCTGTTCTCTCTGAATCTCTGTCTCTTTGTGTGTGTCTCTTTCCCTGTGTTTTCTCCCTTTCTTTCTTTCTCTTATTGTCGCTCCGATCTTTCGGCTCCCTTTACATCTTTGTGTGTCTGGGTTTCTCCCCACCTCTGTCCCTCTCCCCTTGTGTCTCTTTGTCTCTCCCTATCTCTGCGTCTCTCAGTATCTTTCTCTGCGTCTCTGGCGCTCTGCCCCGGCGTTTCTCCCCTTCTCTTCCGGTGAGTCTCTACACTCCTGTGAGAACACGCTCCCTACCGACGCGCCCCGACCTGCCTCCGCCCCCAGAGCCCCCGGCTAGCCCGGGCCTGCGCCTTTAAGGGCCGGCGGCAGAGGGCGGGGTCTCGGCGGCCCCGCCCTGCCCGCCCCTCCCCCTGACGTCCCTTCCTCCCCAGCCCCTCCACCGCCTCCC